TGGCAGCTCCAGACCCAGTAGAAATTTGTACAAGGACACGTTCCAGCTCAGACAAACTATTGCAAGGCTGGGTTTCGAAAAATTGTGTCAACTGCATGTGATATATGGAAGGATCACCATTTTCATCAAGCTGTGGTTGCCACCTTTTTGTTTTAAAATATGTTGTACGCAAACTGCGTCCCACTTTGGCCACACCGAAGACAGCTGTAACAGTTCGATGATCTGACCCCAAATCCAAAAATGAGCTGGCATCTGCATAACGAAGATGTAATGATCGGCTGCAAAGAACAAAATCAATTCGTCGACGAACACCCATGGAACTCTCAAAAGTCCAGTGCTGTTCCCCGTTACCATCACTATTCGCAACTACCAGGTCAAATGAACGTGCTAGCCCGTCCAAAAGTAGACCACGAATTCCGACCCTAACCTGTGTATTGAACGATCATTTGCCAATAGTAATTGGTGGTGAGAAAAGCATGTCTTTAGCCCGTCCCTCACCTGTGGTTCACCACAGTGAACTATTTACGCTTCAAACCTGAAACCATCTAGAATCCAAGTGTACTTTCACACCGTACCTATGAATCGAGGAAGGGTGTATCAAACAACAATTACAACAACAAAGGCATGGCATATTCTGTGCCCAATGCACTTTGTGCAAACAACACTGCGAATGCTTCCCACAAATTGTAACATCCAATAAATTAGGTTCCCCAAACAAAACCTATGTGGTTGATAGCTTTTGCGGGTTAGTTTGGGGATGCGGCTACGGGTTTTGCAACATGACATTTTTAACGAGACTGGTGTGTGCTTGATTTTTTTCTCTATTTGTTCGGGTCTGTCACGGGAGCCTGGGGAACCCGGTTTCTTTGGGAACTTACCAGCTGAAACCCGCTAAAATATAGTTACTATAGTTATGACACGAAACCGTTTTTTGAATCCCAGTTTTTTTCTTCAATGGTACAAACAATGTCCTAAACCCGAGGTACAAACAATGTCCTAAATCCGAGAATCCACCTCCAAAATTGCAGAAATTATTTGTTAAATCTTGGACAGCATTTTTAATTTGAGACACTATGACTGGGCCCGAAACCTAGGAAGTATTTATAAAACGAGGTTTGCTTTTGCCAGTTTTAGTTGGACAAGGATAGCAGTCAAGCATTTGAAGTCCAAAGGTTACTCCACACAAGTGAACCATTTTTGCACCAAGAGGGAAGGGCTGCCAGGCTGTTGGTGCAGGCGTTGTTCATTCTCCTTTGTTCTATTTTGATTGACTGTCCATCTCAGCATCAGACTGCTACTGTTACTGTTGTTTTCTTACCTTGTCATCACCTATATATGTTTATGTTTGTCACCTTGAAAAATTGATATGTGTCATTTTTAGCATAAACGGTTTTCAAAGCGTTTTCATTTACTCCTTGAGTAATATTGAAATATTCCGGAGCCGTTTCAAACTGTTTCTTGTTGTTTGCTTTGGCAAACACCGCAAATAATTTAATTTCGAACATCGTGTGGTTAATTAGTAAATAATCCGAATCCGTTTCAAAAAAAATCATCCTACTTACAAGGTAGTAGTCCGAAACCGTTCCAAATCATTTCGAACCAAACTTTAGCAGCGCAATTTACATTTTTTTTTCTTTTTCAAATATTGTTCAAAAAATTCTCTAATTTCGGCACTCCCCAACATATAAAATGGGTTCGTATTCAGCAATTTTCCCGATTTTGTTTAATAACATGTATTACGTTAAATTTGCATCCAAAAAAATTGCTTAATGCAATCGTAATTTTGGAGCCACCGCTACCGCACTATTATCTTTAGGCGCTGGTCTGCATAAAACGGGTGTTATATTGGTTATTCATTCATCCGGTTGGACAGGAGAAGCATTGTTTGGTGGTGCCAAACAACATTTATGATGGATGGTCATGCCTTTGCTAGCTCTCACATGTTATTTGCATTTTAAATGGGTTTCATACATGTAGAACAATGCTGTGCAGTTTGGTAATAAAAAACTGGAACCAAACGAGTGTTTCCCGAGTTGTTGCTACGTGTGTCGGGTACGTTGAAACATACGCAAACCAACAAGACACATGTATCCTCCTTCGGCGTACCAAAAAAAAATACTTTACTTCGAGTGATCCCCACCATGACATTTATACGTTTTAATATTGGCATATCTTCCACCACAAGCATTGCTTCTGCCAAGTGTGGCGACATATTCCCCAGCTCCACAGGAACATCCGCGCAAGCCATCACAAAGTCTTTGTCCAAGTCTATTCGGAAATGCTCTGAAGGTCACATATTTGTCTGCAGCGAAATAGGGCGCACCACTGTAATTAAACATAGCTAACATCAAACTATTTGGCATTCTATTAGGTTTCTGTACAGTGTTTGAGCAGGCGTGCGTGATGTTGATGTTATATGATGTTATAATTTTGTATTGGTTGGCATGATATGTTCAAAGCATCTGAAACACGTATGTGGCATATCTTCTGGCATTCGATCCCGCACTCTCTCTCGCATATCTTCTGGCATTCTATCTGGCATATCTCATGGCATTTTATCTGGCATATCTTCTGGCATTCTATCTGGCATAGCTCCTGGCATTCTATCTGGCATATCTCATGGCATTTTAGGCATATCTTCTGGCATTCTATCTGGCACAGTTTCTGGCATTCTATCTGGCATATCTCATGGCATTCTATCTGGCATAGCTTCTGGCATTCTATCTGGCATATCTTCGGGGACACTTTCTGCCAATCTATGTGGCGTATCTTCTCGCATTCGATCTGGCATTCTATCTGGCATATCTTCTGGCACTCTATCTGGCATAGCTTCTAACATTCTATCTGGCATATCTCGTGGCATTTTATCTGGCATATCTTCTGGCATTCTATCTGGCATAGTTTCTGGCATTTTATCTGGCATATTTCATGGCATTTTATCTGGCATATTTTCTGGCATTCTATCTGGCATAGTTTCTGGCATTCTATCTGGCATACCTCATGACATTTTATCTGGCATATCTTCTGGCATTCTATCTGGCATAGCTTCTGGCATTCTATCTGGCATAGCTTCTGGCATTCTATCTGGCATATCTCATGGCATTTTATCTGGCATATCTTCTGGCACACTTTCTGCCAATCTATGTGGCGTGTCTTCTGGCATTCGACCTGGCATTCGATCTGGCATTCGATCTGGCGTATCTCTTGGCACGCTATCTGGCATATTTTCTAACATTCTATCTGGCATATCTTCTGGCACTCTATCTGGCATATCTTTGGCATTTCTATCTGGCCGTTGAGGTCCAGCGGTGCACACTGGGCTGGGCAGATCCCAGGTTGAGGTCCAGCGGTGCACACTGAGCTGGGAAGGTCCCAGGAACTATTACCGTAAGAACCCCTCAGTGTTGTTTGGGGAATTAAAGGTGGCCCAAAAAAAATTATTTCACATCCATCGAAGCTTGAAACCTGTGTTTTTTGGTGGTTATTGGTAGGTGAATATTATTAGGTTGAGAAGGTCCAGATTCGTAACTTTAGGGCATTGAAACTTCTCAAGACTTTGAGAAAATGACAATCTTTGAATATTTTCCTTGTTGTGAATCGGCTCTTCGACCTTTCCAACGGCGTGAAAGAAAAAAACGAAGGCTGCCTAAGGGGGAAACTTGTTGCAGCACAGGAAGCTGGGAAGATTCAGGATTTTTCAGCTGACTAACACCCAGGAAATCATTTTACTAAGCAGCCCCCTTCAAAGCCGCTGCTCTGGGGTTTTAATGATTTACATGTGTCACCATCATTTACCACCCTGCACCTCCATTATCATCCATCATCACCACCAACTGCACTGCGCTCACCATCAAGAACAACAATTTGTTCGAATGCGCAAAAATTGTTTGGGATACGGGGGTGCTACTCACGAGTTTGCTGCACACAACCGTTCCTTTGACGTCTGCGAGTGGGCTTGCTCGTGGTTACGAAATCTTTGCTGCAGAGGTGTGGGTGCTTGTTTGAAAACCCAAGGAACAAGCAGTGGTGTGCAAATGGTTGGGGCAACGCCGGGAAGCGGAGCACGGATTTGGAGACTATTTACAAACGTGGTGTGTTCAAAAACACACCACACATGCAACGTGGCGCTCAAGGGCGTGCTTGGACCTACTTCCAAGTTTGCTGTGGAGGTTCCTTCCGCGTGATCAGCGTAATGCTTGCCGCAGTTGGAGTGGTAGGCATGGCTAGCGTACTTAAAAGTAGACGACGGTGTGGCCCGGAAGAAAAGCAGGGCGGAACAGATCAAAAAGAGGTTGGAGGAGAAAATATGAATATAAATTAATGATGATGAATGATGAAAGATGACGAAGGATGAAGAAGGATGAAGAAGGATGAAGAAGGATGATGAATGAAGGATGATGAACACTTTCAACAAACTTTACAATTAAACAAACTCCGAAAAAAAATTAAACCAGACTGAAACAAACCCCAAACCAACCCTAAGCCAACCCTAACAAAAACTAAACACTAAACCAACCCGAAAACAAACCCTAAACCCACCCTAAAGGAATCCTACTTGCAAAAAACCATGCGACATGAACAGTTCGAGCACCAACATGTTGCAAATACTAGGGAGAATGAGAGGTTGGAACTCCAAAATGTTGCAAAATACAGTTAAAATGGCAGCTTCCAGCTCCAAAATGCTGCAAATAGCAAGGGAAACGGATGGGACAGGAGATCCAAAAAAAAACATCAAAACCGAAATAAACAATTCCCAAAACAATTCCGGACTCGTTCTAAAGGGTTGGAGAAATCTCTATACACTACTGGTTCAATTTGGCACAATGGCATCAACACATCGAACTTGGCTGCAAAAAACGAAGGTGTCAAGATAACTGTTCATAGTTTGATTTCACAACGTTTCTCTTTAAAAAACATGGTCACGCATTTTTGGAGGGTGCGCTGACTAGCCATTTTGGCCTAAATTGAGAAATTGCTGCTGTCGACGGCCATAACACTCGATGGGTGCAAACTTTTCCGGTGGACCTTTGGCTGTGGAACCATCATATGATGTGTCGCTTTACGATGCGGATGCCAAATATCCCGATGCAGCCTCGCCCTGCAAAACAGAACAAAACTCTTTGGACCTCAACCATCCAGCACCTTCAGGACTTGTGATTGTCCATGATGGTGCGTGGGAGACCTACCGGGAGGATTTCACGATCCAACTCAAAGGCTTTGGCGGGTTTGAGTTCTGGCAAGGCGTCCGGTCCAGAGATGACTTCGAACGTTTGCGGGAGGTCTTCGAAATGGAGTGTGGGACATTTGGTGCCGGATCCATGGGACATTTACCCAAACGCCCGGAGTTCATCCAGATGAACCACTGGAAGTGGGCCTGCTACTTGCGTGAGACCCGTTCTGGCCTTCAACGGTGGCTGGATACCGCCATCCGCACCAAGCTTTGTGACAGGATGCTGTGGAGACATCTGCTCCTGAACCAGGCAAACTTCCAAGTCCAAGCTGCAGATGCAGCCTGGTTGGACCTGGCACATGCCGTTTTGGGATTGCCCACCATGATGAACATCATGAGCTTCCTGGAGGAACCTGCAGATGTGGCCAGGCTTTGTTACCTCTCCGCGGGATGGATTTGCCACAGCACCGCGCCCTATTGCCCCAAACAATGGGAAACCTGGTATGGACTTCGCACTGTTTTTTTTGGGTCATCATAAGTCATATCATGAAAAATGGATCCTGGAGGGAATTTCCACTACAAAAGTACTGGACTTGGGTCCTCTGTAAAATAAGTTTTTCAATGGTTTTTACAGTCCCCCTAGGACCATGTGTCCTTGCATTTTGTAGTAACCCTAGGTCACATATGTTTCTAGATTCAAACATGGGCTGGTCATAGAAGTTTGTAGTGGTTAAGTATGCGAGATAATAGTCGACCCAAAATGGATTTCTGAGTTCACTCAGATTTGACCCAAAAGTACTTTGTAGTGAATTTGTGGGGTTCCAAGATCAATGTTCTGAAATCAGCTGGGTTTGACCCCTGAAGAACTTTGTAGTGTTTCCTGGGGAATCTTTATGAGATGCCACATGCATATACATACATCAATCAATAATATATGCATCCGCATTCTATGTCGGTGTAATTGGGCTCAATATGGACATCAGGATTTCCAAAGTGCCACAGGTGGATTGAAGTGCCACAGTGGATGTCAGTGGTGTATACCCAAAAATCACTACAAACTACTTTGTCATTTTTTTGGATTGATCTTGAAGACTCAGTGGGATCTACTTAAAAATCACTACAAACATCTACGTGTTTTTTTCAGGGTCTCTTGAAGACCTCTTGTTAGATCCTTTGGTTTTTGTAGTAACCCTTTATCCAGGCTGGGGTTGCACTTTTGTAGTGATTTTTTTTTTGGGCCTGGGCATGGAAAATGTAGTGGGTGGGGTTGGGAAGAGCTACTTTACAGCTACAAAATCTTGACCCAACAGTCCTCCCCAAATACCAACCCCGATAAAAATGGGACATCCCATTTTTTAAGGTGTGTGTTGATGTGAAACCGTATCTTTAGATGGTCAATATTCAGTTTTTCCAGCCGACGACTGGATTTTCCAACATCAGCAGTCCAGAGATCCTTGAGGAAACCCAGTAGTATGATGTTAGAAAATCCATCTGCTGCTGCTGATGTTAGAGCTAATTATCTGCATTTTCTAACATCAGCTTCTTAGCTCCCAAGGAAACGATGTATGCGGATCGCTGGCCTGCCTTCCACGAAGCTCAGAAATATGTCTCCGACCTCAGCCGTTCCGAAGTCGATTGGAAGTCGATGAGCCTTGGACTTTGACAACCCAGTGGATGGTGGAAATGTTGGATTTTTTTTGGATGTTTTTGGAATTCGTTGATGATCATGATGGTAGTAATGACCAATGATAGTAATGATTAATGATTAGTATGTTGGAGAAACGAATGATTAGTAGTACGAAAAAGATATCTTAGTCTTGACAAATCTGCAGGACATCCCTATATTTGAGGCTCGCAACCATGGTTTCCTGTAAAATCTCTCGTAACCAATCAACAACCCAAGGTACTGGCACACTCTTGCTGGCCAGTTTGAGACGGTGCTCGAGGCCACACCGTGGAACCATCCAGTGGAATCCAGTGGAACTGGATGATTCGCTTAAAAAAGTGGGTTGTTGGCGTTGAAAAGTGGAACTACTGTAATTATTGCAGATCCACCGGAGAAACAGCAGGTCATAGCTTTGTGGAGTCTATGGAGGTTAGAAATAGGGACACCTTCCAGTTTTCAAAGCGGAAAAAACCCCAGCCACTTCGGCCCCGCACATCTAGGCCTACGACAGAGAGAAGAAGTTGGGCTTTGCCATGTCCTGCATGCTGGCGAAGGCCATTGGCCACTATTGAAACCACCATGGATACCATGGGTTTTCCGAACCCAACGGATTTGTCTCAAAAAACCCGGGGTGACTGCCCAAAAAAACATCCGAAATGGTTTGTTGAACATCATTTTCCCTGTTAGAATCCCAAGAAATTTGGGGTCAACCCGTCATGCCATGCATAAACCCAAGTTTCCGAACCAAATTCTTCATGCCAGTTTTGTGTTCCACACCCCCGTCAGATGACTGACGCTTTCCAGGTGACGTGGGATTCGCACATCAATTGCTACATTGCAAAATATGTCAGCGCAAGCCAGGTGCCTGTGCAGGATTTGGAAAGGGGGTGAAGCTGGTTAAACCCAGAGTCCCTAGTCTTTTGGGACTGCCTCAGAATTACTGTGCCAAATTGTTGACCTAAAAATTATTTCATGATCGTGTGCTAGCACTTACCCCCATTGATATCTATTGCAAACTGGTTGTTTAAAATTCCTTCACCCAGTTTTTGGTCATGCTTAACAACCAATCTTGTCCAAGTTGAGTTGTTCCATTGAATCCCCGTCATATCTCCACTATGTCATAGTTTCCATAACAAAATCAGCATGAAATCCCCGTAGCATCACGATGAATTCATTCTCGAGAGCCCAGGTCTTGCCCGAGAAGATCCCCTACCACGAAGGCTACAGGTTGCGCTTCTGCCCTCCCTCGGCACGGACGCTGAAGCCCGAGCTGGTGCCGCCGCAGGCATCGGAGTTGCCGCCTGGCGCGATGTGCTGCAAGGGTTGATGGTTTTGTGGAAAAATATGGGGATTTCACAGCAAGAAAAATGTAGGTTTAGCGGTTTAGCCCAGTTCAACCATCAGATATGGTGATGCTGAGCAAAACCTGGTGGATTTGAGCTAGCAAATCAAAAATGGGGACGTGTAGCAATTCCAAAATTAGGATTTAGATAGCCATGAACATATCCTCTATAAAATGAGAGGGGTCAAGGCATGCCATATTTTGTTTTATGCACCTCCAGCGGCGCTCCTTCAGGGGGTCACTCACCCTACTTTATAGTGATTTTAGGGTTGTAGCTGAAATCTGTCCAGATTTGTTCAGGTTTTTGCAGTGCAGCCATGATCCAGGTTGTTCTTATCCGCAGCCATTGATCATTTGATCAAAGATGCCTCGGGTGGGGGCACAACCTCCGAAAAGGAACCCGGCCCTGTGCCATGTGAAGTTCTGAAGACATGCTCAGGGAAGATGGGCAAACCATCTCTTTGCATTCCTTCATTTTGTTCCCAATGCCGCCCAATGCCGCCCAATGCCAACCCTGGTCTTTCAATGGGCCATTTTGGAATAGCGTGGGCTACTTGTATGATTCCCAAGTGCCACCACTGTAAAATGGCCGGCCTCAACCTTTCAACCCACCATGAAATTGGCGATTGAGGCAGCAGCTGCCATCCTTTTGGGTTGAAATTGCCTGGAAAGCTGGGAATTCAACCCAATCACCAGTTTCATATTGGGTTGGTGGGTTGAGGCTAGCCATTTTATAGTGGCTAGATTTGGGAAAGTGTGCAAGTAGCCAACATTAAAGCACAGTAGCCCACATTGTGCTATCTAGCCATAGCCTTTCAATGGGCTGCTGTGTTTTAATGTTGGCTACTTGCACACTTTCCCAAATCTAGCCACTATAAAATGGCTAGCCTCAACCCACCAACCCAATATGAAACTGGTGATTGGGTTGAATTCCCAGCTTTCCAGGCAATTTCAACCCAAAAGGATGGCAGGTGCTGGCTCAATCGTCAATTTCATGGTGGGTTGAAAGGTTGAGGCCAGCCATTTTATAGTGGTGGCACTTGGAAATCATACAAGTAGCCAACACTATTCCAAAATGGCGCATTGAAAGGCCAGGGTTGGCATTTGGAGGCAGAATGCAAAAGGATGGCAGGCGCTGTCTCAATCACCAATTTCATGGTGGGTTGAAAGGTTGAGGCTACCCTTTTTTGTGGTGGCGGCACTTGGAAATCAAGTAGCCCACACTATTCCAAAATGGCCCGTTGAAAGGCCAGGGTTGGCACTGGGCCGCTTTGGAAACAAAATGAAGCAATGGGAAAATGGTATGATTCTAAGTGAGGTGCTGAAATGTGTTGACTTGTGCCTTGACCATTTGGAAAGGGAACAAGTCAGTTTATAGAGATTTTATGGTGTAATTTCCAGGTGTTTTGGGGTCAGGCCCCCTCAAAATATAGTGTTTTGATTTGGGTTGGGGCCGTTCGTTTTATAAGCAGTGCCTAGTCATTTTATGGTGAAAACAATTTTATGTCTATAAAATGGCTTGCAAGACCCCCTCCCGTGTATGTTCATAGGAATGGATTTAGCATGAAAAAGTGGGGGTTTAATCATCAGAATGTATGGTTCATCTGCTATTTAACCAACACGAGAAAAGATTAACCAACAGCAATGATTGGGATCCAAGGGTAGTGAATTGTCCATCGAACATGGGGATACCGTCCACAGGTGGAGATTTGACAAGCAAACATGGGGATTGAGCTGGTTTAACCATAGGTAGTGGTTAGCATTCTTTAACCATATAATATATGTAGTGGTCAGCATTCTTCATTAGCATTTCCAACATCAGAAAATCAACACACAATGGATGTGGGTAAGTCCAAACACCGAGGAGTTACACCTAGATCATGGAGAACCGATAATGGGAAACATGATCTTCTAAACAATTTTGGGACTTTGGGGGTGCACAGCATTGGGATAAACCCGTGGAGAGCCGTACCCAGGGGTTTACCTGAAAATGGGAGGGGGGGGGGCCAAAATCTAAAATTGTTGAGAACATGGTTTTTCCCATTGATGGCAATAAATTGGGAGTGAATCCTGCGACGTCGGTCAAACCTATGTCACCGTTTAGGCGAAATTCTCAAGGACAGTTAACTTTCTTGGCTGTTCTGTAAGATTTCACCTTTAGTTCTGGGAGGAGTGCAACAGTAGTGAGAGGGAACCCCAAGGAATTGTCAAGCCATTGACATGGCCGGTTTTGGTGTGTATTTTTTGTTTGGATCATAACCGATTGTGGGGAGATTGTTGCATCAGACTAATGTGAAGCTGTTTCGGATCATTGTTTGTGGGTTTTGAAAAAGGAAAAACAAATTGATGAGCTGGTCAAAGGATAGGCACGAGGAAACTCCACAAATGCATGGATGAAGCAATGATTGCTGGAATATTTTCTTTCTGGCAGTTCCTGTGCGGTAATGTTTTTGAAGTATTACAGTAACCCTGTTGCTTAGCTGAGTCATTCGCTTTTGAAAAAACATGTGAAGGCTATGCTGCCTGATATACCTGCACGAGGGATGCGTTTGTCAAGCAACACCCGGCACCGTCTTAGGTATGGCTATCGCGCTACTCGGCTGATTTCTCTAGCCCACAGGGGCGAACCTGTGTATGAGCGCAGTGCGCATGACCTTTCAAAACAGGATAGCAAACTCCAATAGCGCTCTTAAAGTGTTTCTCTCTCTCTCTCTCTCTGTCTCTCTCTCTCTCTGTCTCTCTCTCTCTCTGTCTCTCTCTCTCTCTCTCTCTGTCTCTCTCTCTCTCTCTCCCTCCAGGATTTTCATTTCGTTTGTGGAAGTTTTCTGGAAGCTAGTCAAATACCTCAAACAATAGTTTCGGAAGATGCTTCTCAAACTGCACTAAAACAAAGATTTCAGGGAAGTGAGCTACGGACGATTTCCAAGTTTGCCGATTTAACCTGTTTCTCACATGATTTACACCAATGAACCAACGCCAGTTTCCAGTTCCAAAGGTGTTATGTAAACTGCCGGAGGGTATACCATATTATATAAATTATATATCCCCAATAAATCCCATGAACTGCCGTTACATCCCATAGCCAACCCATAGCCAACCGGCTGGCTGTTCCCTGTTCCGGCCGTGCCTTAACGGCACACCGCCGTTGCAGGTGCTGGAGGGTGTCCCAGACCTGAAAATCGGGCAAGGGCTCGAGCTCCAGTGGAAGATGCAACAGGGCAGCCCCTTCGGATGGTGGTTCGGCACCGTTGAGTCCGTGGAACGTGATGCAGGTGGGGCCCGGGCGGATGGTGGGGGTTGAAGGTGGGTTGAAATTCTGTAAGGTCTATGTTGATACCTAAATGTCAAGATAAATATGAGCAATGTAAAAATAGAAAGGGAGCTATATCTATACACACATGTATGCACATGTTCAATCATTTGATGAGAGATCCCAACATGGAATGTTTTCTATTGGGGTATCTTACGCTTTGCTGAGGCTTTTTCCATGGCACATCGCCATTCGCAGCACAGGTGGCTCCAGGGCCAAGGTGACGATGATCTTTGACCACTTCCCCGCCACCAGCCGCTGGCGTCGCCTGCAAATCATCATCGGCGACGGAGTGGTGCGGCAGTGCGCCATTGGTGGATGGCATGGAGGGGTGCGGGCCGTCACGGAAGCAGAGAAGAAGGACGCCGGGCGATGTGGTTCAACCAACCTCATTTTGCATAAGACTTGAATTTCTTCAATGAACCTGACAAGAGATTGAAGCATGCACTGTGGCCTCCCAGTAATTCTAATAATTCTGGCCCTTGTGCCAACAATTGAGGTTTATGAGGAGATTTACAGAGGTTTACAGCAAGGATCACCTGGGATCACTGGGGTCACTCAAATCTCTCTGGGCCAATTTGAATCCCAGCAACACAGATTGACTGAAAGCTTTTAGGCAAGCCATCCATAGCCATCCCATGTTTGCAAACTGCGATGCCTTGGATGCACCAGGACTGGGTGAAGTTCTACCCCAAAGAACCCGTTATTTTCTGAGGCACTGACAGGTGGCCCGGTCCCTGGTCCCTGGCACTGCCAGGGGCATGAAACTGAAAGGAGGATCACTTGGACTTGGCCACGTATCTTCTGAATTCTGGGCCCAGCCTAGTGGCCAGGTGTTTGAAGTCTTTGCTGCATGAATGCAGCAAGAATTCAGCGCCGAGGTTTCTAGGCGTTCTATTGCCAGTGCCCTCAGATATTCTCCGAAAAAACGAGGGTTGACATGTGAACAATTTCGTTCTGAAAAGATAAACATTACATAACATTACGTTGTTTCAGTTGCCTCTGGGCACTCTAGTTGAGTGTCATGAGCGTGTTTTTTTGGAGGGTCACAGTTTTCCGCTCAGCAACTGCAATGTGGTTGCTAAAATAGCTGAAGAGGTAAGGCGTTGACCCTGTTTCTCTTGCAGCTGCAGGGAATCGGGTCGACTCTGCCACTCCGTTGATCCAGATGCCTCATGACATCTGTGACATGGCTTCTCACCGCACAGATTTGGTGGTTTTTTCAGCCTGAAAAGCCGCCTTTTTTCTGTAGCAGACTTGGCCAGAAGATGCGATCCGGCGCGCTTCTTTTGTGAAGCGTCTTGTGGCCAGAGAGGAAGCACCAGATTTCAAATGCTTCCTCTGTACAAAGCACAGTCTGTGCAAAAGAGCAGCAGAGAGCCAAATTCAAATGGATTACATAGAAATTGACGTTTCATGCGATTAAAAACGACACGTTGCACCTCAAAACAGTGCACAAACAGATTGACGTTGCCTTCGCAACGTGGTGAGCTCATTAGCTGCTCTTCTGCGCAAATCCTCCCCTTCCAGAAGAAGCTATGTTTGGTCGTTTTCTCTGGATAGAAGTGTGGGTCAAAATCTCCGTCGTTATTCCTTGGCCATTGGTAGTCTGAAAGTGTATGAAACCATATGAAACTCAAAGCTGTTGCGACGGTACCTGCCCGACCCATCCCCCCATTTTCTGTGGCATTCTGGTGGACGTGAGCCCGATCTTAAGGTTTCGCTGACGCACAAAGTCTTCGAACGGTTTAGACCGGCGCTAAAAAAAGGGCTTGAATCAGGGCCCTTTTTTCAGGCCAATTTGGCCTGATGATTTCAATCACCAAACCGAGGCCCCGCCTCAGCAATGCCAGAAAACGTGATGTCTTCAACAGAAAGTAGGACATGGGGGAGTGGGATCTATGTGTCTGTGTTGGGATTGGTATAGCATGAGAAACCAAAGCCTTCTCCCGCAGGAACCTTTTTGGCCCAATGTGCACTTTTTAGAAGCTACCGCATAGAACATTGCAAGGAGGTGCGGGTCCCAGACGATCTCTTCCACGTCTTCGCGGGTAGGTTTTGAAAACTGACATGGCACATTTTGGGCCGCCATAAAAAAATGACGCGCCCAAAAAGGAACCTCCAGTTGGGGATGGGCGGGATGGGGTTGTTCCATCACATTTCTTGAAAAATGATGAAGCATGGGGTATGGTTTGCTATTGGGTGTGCTACATTGTCAGGAACTTGTGTGAATTTCCAAGGTTCAGCACCCAAGGGGCCAACCACTGGGGCATGCTGAGGTTGCGACCCCTCGCCTGAACCCGCAGAATTCGCAGGATGTGGGGTCCCTGGTTCAGGACTTTCAGAATGAAACAATCTTTTCACGAAAGCTAGCGTCAGCTAGCTGGAGTCTTCTTGCTTTAGCAAGTATTCCGGGGGCTGCTCAAGGACATCACGTGATTTTTCACGCGAAAGGCCCCCCCCAACCCCACCCACCATCCATCATCATCATCATCATCATCATCGTCATCATCGTCATCATCGTCATCATCGTCATCGTCATCGGTTTCGTCATCGTCATCGTCATTGGCATCGTTCTCGTCATCGGGATCATCATCATCATCATCCATCATCATCATCATCATCATCATCATCATCCATCACCATCACCATCACCATCACCATCATCATCATCACCATCACCATCATCCATCATCATCATCATCATCATCACCATCATCATCATCATCATCAACATCATCACCATCACCATCACCATCACCATCACCATCACCATCATCGTCATCATCATCATCATCATCATCATCATCATCATCATGAGCATCATCATCACCATCATCATCATCATCATCATCATCACCATCATCATCATCATCATCGTCATCATCATCATCATCATCATCGTCATCATCATCACCATCACCATCATCATCATCATCATCGTCATTGTCACCGACATTTCCCTGCTGACACTGAAGATACGTCTTCCCTTCCTTCTGTCTCCTACCCCGCTAGCTTTCGTCATCCACCCCCGGCCTCAAGTTCTTTACTCAACGACTTGACCCCTACTCCATGGAAAATATAGAAATTAGTTCTTGGGATTTAGCGATTCTGTACAAGACGATGATTTTCAATCTTTGAATCCCATTTTAGGTACGGGTCACACGTGGGTGCCCCCCAAACAAGGTCCTGATTTGTTATTTGAGAGAATGACTCGCATTTTCAGGTTCCCACGGTTCCTGGCCCGGAAATTAATTTATCCCCGTCTGCAAGGCCAAAGAGTTCTGGCTACTACGCTTCCAAGCCTTCACCTGGAGGCTTGCCTCCCATTACAAGGCTTCGTCAGCTGGTGGCCTGGGAGGTTGGTGGCTTCTGAAGTATGAGATAGAGAAATTGATGGTGATTGTGATGGTGATGGTGATGATGGTGAAGAGGAGGTGGAGGAGGAAGAAAAGAAGAAGAAGAAGAAGAAGAAGAAGAAGAAGAAAAGAAGAAGAAGAAAAGAAGAAGAAGAAGAAAAGAAAAGAAGGGGGAAGAAGCTGGCGAGGAAGAAGATTGCTGCCATCCTTTTGTTGTTGTTTTGTTGGTGTTGTTAGGATAGCTATTCAATTCTAGGTGAGGTGGGGAACGCTTAACTCCATTTCTCATGCCAAGGATCCAACAGTGTGGCAGCGCAGTTTCAATGGATCATAAGATTCATCGTTGGATTCATCATTGCATTAATCTGTGCCAGCTTGATCCATTTGTGGGAAATTGCCAAATCCTTTGCACACAATTAAACACCTTAAATGAATACCATCCGGCAATCAAACATGGCAATTGGAAATCTCCAAAGCCAATGGGGGTTTATAGTTGGAACACATATTGAACCAAATGGCGGATTTTCCAGCAAACCACGTTTGTCAGCCCCCTAGGCCTCCGGAACACTTGTCCTATGCTCAGTTTGGTGCCGCAAGTGGCCACCTTTGGGGGCCGGCTGCCTCTTTAAGGTTAGGTCAAGTCGAAAAGAGTCGGAAAGGACAGTGGAATGTGGGTCAACAACTCAGCCAGGTGGTCGAAGGGCTCCAAGCATGAAACTAAAGGACAAAAAAACGACCATCATGAGGATAGAAGTGGGAAGTTTGGGAAGATTTGTTGGTTGGTGGTTTCAACCTTGACAAACACCCAACATGTTCATCTTTGACTCTGACGCGTCAATTTTACGTTTGTGATCTTTGCCTTTGTGGCCTTTGTGGTGAAATAGTGGCCCCACGGCTGCAAAGTTCTGTTCAAGCACTGCTTTCGCTTTATGGTTCTTTGTGCGATTGCTGTTGGGAAGGCTCTTGAATTTAATTGGCTTTGCGAGCTAGAGCCAAATTCCTTCTCATTTGCAAAGCATGTGGATGTCACTGGGGCGAACTGATACTCCACCACCCCTGAATTTCCAGGTCATGACGCGCTGTCATCTGCATGCATTTGGTTGGACAATGTGGCACGGGAAGGGAAGAGCCTGGAAGCCTGGAAATGGGGAGAACTAGTTTGGCTTTCCTAGTGATGTTGGTTCCTCTGAAACCCTGAGCTGTAGACAGTAATCGCTGAGCCCTCGCCCTTGTGCATTAAATCTGTACTGGACATCAATCTTACCTGCCGACTCGAAGATCCGCTGATCTATGCCAGACCGGACAAATGTACTCCCTTTGTGGTTGGATCAGGGGTCATATCCCCATATCCCAGCGATTGAAGGTGCAAAGCCACTTGCGAACTTCCAGCATCCGCCAAGCCAAGGAGTTGGGGACCGTCAGACTGAGCAAGCTGTCGTGTACCGTGGTGATATGTCGGAACCTTGGGGGGGCCAGGGGGAGTTGGATGCATCTCCAGACTGGTGATTGATCCTCATTTTTGATGTTTTTTTTGTAGAAAAGGCCTGCCTCTGTGATGTCGTTTGCTTCCTATTTTGCTTTGGCTTCCCAGGACGCTGAAAGAGTTCAAAAAGCTCAATGAGCCCACGAGGTTCTGGTGGGAGACAGGCAGTAGAAACCATACTCCAAGGTTTTTGGATTGTTTTGGTGGATATCCTTTATGGTCCTCCTCCTTGGGTCGTTCATAATGGAGTCCATTCCAATTTTTCTGCTTCAAATTCTTGTTGCCAGGCAAGTCCCAGGTCAAAGACTTTGCGGTTGGTAAGAAGCCAATTCTTGGGTGCTTCAATTTTTGATTTTTACCATATTCATCCATATTCTAGGTTCCTCTCTGGTGATCAAACATGGCTTGCTCAAAGATCCCCCAGCAAAAGGTTCAATGATTTTCCCATTGAAATGCCCATTTCATTCGGGGATTTGCCGTTATAACGACCACCATTTCCACCATCATTGTTGGTGAAATCCCATCTTTTCATGGTTAGCTTTCCATTCTTGGGTGAATATTCTGAATATTCCTATATTTTCCCATGTTCTCCTGGTAGTTTCCCATGTTTTTCCTCCACTTAGCTGCGGAAGTTTCATGGGCGCTCGCCATGTTTCTCCGCCGAGGCGCCTCATCGCCAATGCTGGGGCGCTGCCAGCGAGGCAGCTCCTGAAGGTGGGACGTAGCGATGAGGCGCCGAAACGTTGGAACCGAAAGTCGTGCTGTGGACACAGAGTCTGTATCTGATAATTACCAGCTGGTTATTTAACATAGCCATGGAAAATCCCTCATAAATGGAGGTTTTAATGGGAAAATCATCTATAAATGGGCCATTTTCCATGGCTATGTTAAATAACCAGAGGGTAGCTGTGGATACAATGTATACAATGTTTTTTTCTGTGTGTGTGTAGATGATACTGTACTGATTATATGTACTGAATATTAATGTATATACATTGCGTGTGTGGATCTGTATTTGGTTGATATAAGCCTTCATGGTCGACTACATCAATTGTCAATGTAACTTGACAATTTCTGGCTGCAACCAGCGATGGTTCGATCCCCAATTCTCGACCTGTCACGACTAGTCGATGTTTGGAAAGGCACCAGGTCACCAGGTGAGAGAGCACTGAAACACTCGGACTCCCATTGGCAACATTGCTGAAAGAATATTCGGGGCCTGTTAAGCCTGGTTTATTGCTATAAAAGTATATAAAAGTCAACAACGGCATGAAACGAACATGCGCGTAGCAAGAGCACCAACCGGTGTTGAATCACACAAAGATCGGGGGGATATACTGCGAGAGTCATCTATTCCTTGTTTAGGTCTCAAACGATTCCTTTTTCATCCCA